CCATCTCTATCTTTCTGTCGCTCGGCTCGGCTAATGTCCGTCCCGTGCACTGAACGTGCGCTCCTCCACATCATGAGTAGATACGCCCCTTACTGCTGATTGGCTACAAGTTTGTTTTGCTATTCGGCCCGAATCGATTTTCAAAAGTGGTTTTGAAAAATCGCTTACCCCACCTTTAAACAACATAGTTATGAAAAAGTTGATTGGAGTGGAGTCAGAGGTCATGACCCTGATCAACCAATAATGCTGCTGTCTGACCTGCTGTGCAGAAGGCACAGTATCATGAATGAATGAGAGTGAGCGAGAGAGATTTATGGGGATAAAACATCCTGTCATGAATGTTTTAGAGATAAAACTGAAATGATGGGCCAGAGGCAATAATCATGATATCATTTTATTCGGGCCTCCCTGACAAGTATATCAAGCAGTCTATTCAAAACTCAGGTCGTGCCTTCTGTTTCAGCTCCACCTTTGTGGAATAAACTTCCTTTGGCGATTAGAAATTCCCCAACCCTAGACTGTTTTAAGAAGTCTTTAAAGATGACTCTTTTTAAAGATGCTTATTGTCTCTGAATGCATTATTTCTGTTTTATTTTATCTATGGTTTTTACATTTTTGTATTTGTGAATTACCATACATTGTGTAGCCCTTTGGGTTTGAGAATAGTGCAAAATAAATCAAATGTATCATCATCCTCTATCCTGTATCTATTAAATGCTCTACACTCTAAAAAATGCTGGATTGTTTCAACCCAACATTGGGTCAAATATGGACTAACCCAACCGTTGGGTTAAATTTTTACATTAAATTTTTAACCCAAAAGTTGGGTTAGTCCATATTTGACCCAAAGTTGGGTTGAAACAACCCAGCATTTTTTAGAGTGTATTTTTCGGGTTAAAGATCCATCATCTCTGCGTCCAGCTGGTTCACGCTCTGATTATACTTGATCTCATGTTCTTCGTCAGCTTCTTCATATGGAGCTATTCTTGCTCTTTTCCAACCGCAGAATGCTTCTTAAATGTTTCTTTGTTCCTACAGGGAGAGAGTCTCACAAATATAGTGCAGCTTTAAGATTACAAGGCATGTTGGATTCCAGATTAGACACAAAAGCAGTCCGTGTTATATAAGATTTTAATCAAGCACTTTTGGGGCATGGATCTTGGCCTTGGCACCAGACAGCGTGACTAGAGCGGAGGGCAGTTGTGCAGGACAGATGTGCTGTGTAATTCTGTGTGCGAGGGAAAAGGGGTGTTAGTTTACTTTGGGTAATTTGTGACCTAAGCCCTCCAATCCCAGCTGTCAAGCAAATACAACAACCGCTGTTCTCATGCAAAGGAGGATTTTGGATATGTTTGTTTGGTCAAATCGAGCTATTCTGCAAACCACATACACTGAGTGGGACGTCTACCCAGATGCTCAAACAATAAGTGTGTGTGACTTTTTTTGGTGTAACGAACTAAATGCCTCAAACAGTCCCAGCAGGATTTCACAATTTTATTTATTTATTTGCTATTAATTAATTATACATAATTGCATGCAAGTAACCCTAAGCCAAACCCAAATCCTAACCATATAATAAGTACATGTAGTTAGTTAATATTACTCAGTACTTATATGTATAATTACACTGAAACAAGGACACCTTAAAATAAAGTGTAACCGTTATTTTTTATAATTAGGATAGTACACTTACCATATTATATATGACATTAGATGATTGTCATGACTGAACAAAATGCAGAAAGCTTGTTTAATTTTGTGTTTTATCAAACTTTTTCTTTTGTTGTTTGCTTAACATTAATGACACAGCCAGCAGCAGGTATATTAGGCTGCTCTCACTTTAAGACAGAATGCATAGATCCAATATATTGATACACATCAGATTTTCTCCCAACTGTTTACGTTCATTTAAGACATAACAGTCGTGAATATGTAATTACTTGCGAAGATGGGCAATTTTGCATAACTTTGTGTCTACTTGAACATTCACGCGCATTTCTGTGTGAACGCTTCAGCTGTGTGTCAGTCAGTGTGTGTGGACCGCAATTTTGAGAATTATTTTCGCTTAATAACTATTTTTAACATCAAGTATGTCCTGTGCTGTATTTTCTCATTTATGCATGTTTCTTTATCATACTAACATTAAGTAATATTGCGATTTTTGCAGTTTATTTAGCAGATATTTTGTTGATTTTGCATTGTGTTCCATGTTTGCTGAATCGCAAAAAACTGGAGGAACTATCTGAACTATTTTGTCATATTGTAGTCTCCTTCATGAAGAGCCATTTCCGTTAAAAATATAAAATACAATTTTAAAATGTGAAAATTTTGAGTTTATATCTCACAATTCAGACTTTTTCTGAGATATTATCTTCGGAATTAAATTCGGAATTGTGAGATATAAGCTTGCAATTGCGAGAGAAAAAAGTCGCAATGACCTTTAATTTTTTTACTTTGTTGTGGAAACAAAAAAACACTATTGTGAGACATAAACTCAGAATTCTGAGGTAAAAAAAACTCTGAATTGTGAGATACAAACAGATTTTTTTTCTCACACTTCTGAGTTTACATCTTGCAATAACATTCGCTAATCACACGGCGTTCTCTCTTCTGTTGTCATTCAGGGTTTTGTGATATTTATTTCAATTTTCCTCGAGGTCTCTCTTGAAGTTGTTAGTCATTCCTGTCACCTTGTATTAGAATGAGTGGCAGTGATTAGTGACTCGGTCAGGCAGATTAATCACAATGATTTTTAAATATTTTGAAATTATATATGGCAGATTACTAGCAGTGCCAGTTCTTTGTATCCGTTCTAAAATCTATCAGTTTTTACAAAGGACAATAAGCGTTTTATATTGCAGAGTTGTTGTTGTTGTTATTATTATTATTATTATTATTATTAT